AAAAAAAAAAAAAAAAAAAAAACTAGAAGCAGAGAAGAACAAAAAGGAAGGTGAAGAAAGGCCGGCCGCCGGCAAACACAAACCGTACGCAGAGCGAAGCAGTTCCCGACCTGCACCAAGCGAATTAGAGACCGCCGGTGTTGTAACTGAAAAGAAACAACGCGGAGCAATTTCCGGCAAAGCTTCTCGCCTCTACCACTGCCGCCGCCGCGGCGTACGCGTGCAGCGACGGTTAGCTGAAGTACGCGGAGAGAGGACGTAGACTAAACCCTATGCACTGCGAAAAGAAACTTAGACAGTTCAGGAGTATTTATTGCACTAGAATCGAAGACGATGATGACACGTGGCCATTGACAACTGAGAAGCCGCGTCGATCCAACGGCTCGATAGGCTTCAAAAATTGGGGTCCACCGGCACTAATTGATGTGAGGTACAGTGACCTCATGTGTAAGCTTCTTCACAGCTCCAAAATCTCCATTAAAAAAATTTCTAATTGTTTTGTAAATATAAATTTACAATTCCATAATAATTAGTTGTATTAAACAGCTTTTAAAATTTGGTCATAAATTTCTTTTAAAATAAAAAGATAAAACCCGCCATATATTATTAAGAAATAATAAATACAAATTTAAAAAATAAAAAAACGAAGCGGAATTTGAAGCAATGTTTGGGCCATGAAATTGACACAAAGCTTTACAACTGTTTCCACTTTCCATCCCAATCATAAAAGCTTCTTCACAAAAGTAGAGAGGCAACAAATAACCAAACTTCACCTTATCCAATATTTTTTGCCATTAAATATTTAACTCTTCTTTGGAGCTTATCATAAAATCCAAAATTGTTGTTAGGAACTATTTATATGCCTCCTAAAACCCTACCTTCTTACCTTCCAATTGTAAATGGTAACTAAACTATAGTTGAAAAGGCTTTAAAAAATTAAAAGTCACCGACTATACTAATAAGATGAGCCTTCTTTATTGGTGACTCATTATTGAGCATATTTACTTGAAATAATTATATATTGGGTGACCACCTAGAAATTTCTACATGTGAGTGATGACCAAACATATTAGAAGCACTCGTGTTAATACTAAGTATGAAGCGTTAAATTTGGTCAAATTTCGTCTCGATTATGATAAAAGTGTAAAATTTTGGATCTTCAGCTCCATTTTTATGTTTGATTCGATTGTAATTTAAAATAAAAAATTATTGTGTGGAGGAAAGTTATAAATGAGTTTTACATGACTTTTAAATTTGTGAAAAATATTCCTAAATTTTTTTTAAAAAAAAATTTAAGTTGGCTTAGTTTTTAAGTTAGACGGTTAGGAGTGGGTTTGAAAATTTTAATTCGTTAATCAATTTAAAGTTTTGTTAAATGCTCAAAATTAGGATTTGAAATTTAATGAAAAATTTTCCATTTATAACTAAAGGATTTAATACGATGAGTCCATTCTTATCCTAAGTTTTCTATTTCAACAAACTAAAATCTTAGGTTAGATTCTACCTATTTGTTTCTTCTAAAATTCTTGTCAATTAATTAAATATTATATGCTATAATAAGGAACTAAACTAAAACTTTTTAAACAATAATGACAAAATTAAAAACCAATTCAAATCAATCAAAATGGATAAAATCAACTAAAATCAAACTAATTTGGCAAAAAAACCAATCAATTAATCTAACTAAAATTAAATAAAAAATGCAAAATTAGTAAGGGCCCAAGTCCAATAGTTCTTTTCTCCTATAGATGTTGCACCACCAAATTCATTTCCCTTTGGAGCCTAATATCTTTGTGCAAGCGTCCTTATCGACACACCGTTCGGTGTTTGGCTCTGATACCGTCTTTACTGGCACACCATCCGGTGTCTAGCTCTGATACTATTTGTGGTGTGTCAGCGTTCTTACTGACACCCCACCCAGTGTCTAGCTCTGATATCATTTGTGGTGTGCCTGACTCTAGTACCATTTGTAACGACCCAAGCCCATCGCTAGTCGATATTGTCTTTTTTAGGTTTTTCTTTCCGGACTTTTCCTAAGGCTTTAAACGCTACGGTAAGTTTTACACACTCTTATAAAATTATAAAGGGTGTTTCGCTCACTTCCGAAACTGACTTGGGATCTTATCAATCAGAAATTAAAAATTTAAAAGCTAAATAAGAGTTCTTCAAAAATTATAATTAAGAAAAAAAGAAAAGAAAAAAAAGCTACAGTATACGAGTCGTACATTTTCCAAGAAACAGAAGGAAAATTTCTCATGAAATTATTTGAAATTTTTATTTCCGCTAATCCAAATTGGTTTGAAATGGAGGAAAAGGATGATCCTAAAGAACAGGGGAGAAATTATTTAGCTCTGGAGCTGCAAGGCGGACTGAAGTAAGTTCCATTAGAAGGATGAAATTTAAGCACGCAATGAAGATGGCACCTGTACTTAACAGATCCAAGCAATCCAACGCGCCATTGAACTCTCGTATCCCCGATCAAATCGAACCGGCTCACATCCGACTTCAACGCGTAATCCACTTCCTCCATCTGCTCCGGCGTCAGAGGAATCGAATTCGAAGGCACTACGTAAGGCAGCATCAGAGAACTGTTCTTCCTCACATCGAAATCCCTCGCCACGAGCTGCGCGATCTTAATCCCTAGGAAATGGAGGAAGAAACTCGTATCGGAGAAACTCGCATGAGCTTTCGCGTTATCGTTCTCCGCCTTCACCACCACCGTCAATTGAACTTCCAGACGCCCGGCGATGTCGTTCTGGAAGTTATCGAGATGAGCGTCGATAACGCCGATCATCGGAACCCTAGGGTGGATCACTAGGTAACCGATGAAGATGACGATGCCTCCGATTATGACGGCGATCGAAACTACGGTACAGAGCAGGGCGGCAAGCCAAACGAGAGGATGAGTGCGGCGCTTTGCGTCGGAGATCAGTTTCGGTGGCATTGGGCGGTTGGAGATTGGGGATTTCGTGAGGCCGTCAACATTCGGCGGCGATTTTTCTTCGAAATTATGAGGTAATTTGACTCTGCTTTTGAATTGAGGGATTCAGGTATTTGATTTTTGTTTAAATTTATTTTGTGGAATTCGAAGTTCAATCTGCTGGGGAAGGTTTTGGTATCTCTACCTTTCCCGGTTGCAAAGCATTTGAATTCCGAGAAACAAAACTCCCTGTTGGGATACCACAATTTTTAGAGGTATAATGTTCCTGGGAATCTTTGCCACTCACATCCCTCTTACTTTTTTTCTGTTTTCTTCCAAAGTAAAATACCAAACTTGCACTGCTAATTCCTTCCCCTTCGTTGCAAACTTGGATATGACTATTATTCACTGCTAAGGAACCTATTACAATTGTTTTTTAAAGCACAACGAATAAATTAGATTTAATTTTGAAACTTGAATCCATTTCATTCTTTACCAGTGTTCATGCAGAACTCCGCAAATCTCTAACCCAAAATATAAAGGGTTGCATTAGAGTTTGGTTGGGTTAGATTTTTTTCTTTAATCAATTTGGATGGGGTTGAATTTTTAGAAAATCGAAAATTTTGAACCTGTCCATGGGTTGACATTTTTTTGTTTGTCGTGTCAATCTGAAAAGAGAGTTACATTACTTTTAAGATTACATCGTAGATTAAGAATATTTAATGTTCGTAACTCATATTAGCGACGCATCGTGTTTGTAAATATTTGATATTTAAGTTTTATGAGATTTTAATTAATAATATAACATGTATTAATTTTTTAAATAATTAAACGGTACAACCTAAAAATAAAAAGTTGGGTTTGGTTGAATTATGAATTGTATCTAGGTGGTTCTGACAACACCTAATACAATTTTTTTTTTTTTTGGAAAATCTAAATTTTGAGTTGTTTTTCCGCCCAATCCATATATACTTTGTTATTTTATTTATTTATTATTATTATTTTTAAAAATTTTAGAGTAACTTCCAAAAACTAAAATATATTTTAATAAACTTTTCACATTTCTTAAAAATAAAAATACATTTCAATTCTAAGGGAAACCAATTAAATTGAGTTTAGAATAAGATATGGCTTTACTCAACAATAATAGGTAGTAGAATCTATGGAGCTATGTGTTTTTAATGAACTTGAGTGTAGGGAGAAAAGTACAAATTAGACTCTTTTATAGACGAGAGGGGAGAGGGGAGGGAGAATCTCATTCTTTTTAATGCTTAAATAATACAAACAATAAGATAACTTATATTCTCCAACATAGATAAATTATATTTTTTATTCTCAAGTTTTATAATTTATTCTAAAAAATAAAAAAATTTATTCAATTTTGCAGTTGATGTGTGTAAATCGATTATATAAATGAATGAATTTAACAGTATTGTAAAGAATATTACTGATGTCTTTTCATTTTTACCCATCAATTGTTACTTCAAATTTTATCATTTTTTCCTTTAAAATAAATATTATTGATTTTCTTATAATTTTAAGGTTATTTTGAGACCAATTTTAAATGTAAAAAATGAATTTTTTATTGATGCTTTACCCTTGGGGTACATTTTGTATAAATTAATATCTTTTCTTTTTTTCTTTCTTGATATCTATGCTAACTTGCATTAGCCATAAAATATTAAAATTTAAATAAATGGTTATTATAATATTAAATTTTGCCTTCCCTCGAGTTTGTCAACCATGAGTTAATATTGTCGTGAAATTTTGTTCTTTAATTAAAAAAAACATCAAATAGCTATAAAATTTCTCTCCTCTCTCATACCTCTTCTATGATTTTGTACACAAATGTTGAAAAATTACACAAAATTAAAAACATATTTAATTTGGTTTGAACTCGAAGTCATAATTTCTCAAAATTTAAACTTATATGAGATGTTTTCAAGATCATTAACGGCGAAATTCTTTAAAATTTTGGTTTAAATCTTAAACATAGTTGTGAAAAAAATATTAAAAAAACGTATAAAAAATTGGTCACCTAACTAAAATAAGTTTGTATGGAGGAAGGTATGATTTTTTTTTTTCCATCTCGGTAGTGCCTTTAATCATGGTGGTGTTGATTTTTTTCACCCTTTCCTTCTCTTTATATATATTTTAAATTTATGTCGTAGTTGATTAATGAGAAGAAGAAAAATTGTGTGGTGGATAGAAGTTGAGAAGAAAAAAATGAGAGAAAAAAGAGGAGAGAGAGATTTTGTATGTATTTCATATTTTTTACCCCGAGAGTAAAAATATAATTTCACTCCTCAATAAGGTAAAAGATAGTTTTTATTTATAGCAAAATCTGTGTTTTTTTGGTTTCGTTTGAGATTTTTTATTTTTTTTATTTTTAAAGAGTATTTTTTTTAGAAAAACTAATATTTTAAGGATGGTATAAAAGGAATTAAGAAGTAATTTTTGACATTAATCGACCAATAAAAATCCTCAATATTAGAATAAATATCAATTTATACTCCTAAATTTTAAGACGGTATCAATTAAAAATTTAAATTAATAAATATTTATATCAATTTTAATTTTAATCTTTTATTAAATTTTGTTTTAAAATTATGAATGCATAACTTTGTCACGGGAACAAAACTTATTTAAATATAATAATTAATAAAAATTAGAGAAAAATACTAAAATCAAATAGACGTTTAACAAATTTTCATGAAGTTTGAATATTCTTTTTGTCAATTATTATTCAACTGACTATAAGTAGTTGGGAAAAATTGTTTTAGTGCGGCCCACTGGGCCAGATGGGCCGATAATACCTCTTTTTGATAAATCTTTTCAAATATTTTCGGTATCGACCCTTTATTTTGAAATATTGCATAATTCCCCCAGGCTTTCTAGTCCGAAAATCTCCCGCTCGCTAACTAGTTCAGATTTCTCGGACTTCGATTTCTTCCCTCACTTGCAGTTCGTCACTTCGCCGTCGCCGCCGCCGCGACTCCACGGCGTTAACTGGAGTCGACTCACCGACTCGTTTCACTGGCAGCAGTTTTCTAATTTATTCCATCTGCTGCGTTGCTGTCGCGCCATTTCCGCATCGTTTGATTTCAGGCAGAATTTAGCAAGACAGGGTTGGGGATCGTAGTGGATACAAGTTTTGAAAATGGATAAGAAGCACGAGATTGGTACGCCGGTGAGCTCCAGCCAGATCGATCTGAAAAAGTCATTCAAGCTTGCTGTTCGTTCTCTCCTCACTTCCTGTTCCAGGGAGGTAAGAACGAAAGTTTCTGCAATATGTATAATTTCTTGTTCATACTTTTTATGGAAATGGTGCGGAATTGGTACTTAGGAATGAGAATTTGCATTCCAACTGGCAATTTGGTCACGAGAGATTTTTTAGGCTACTTTATTTTGAAGGAGATGGTAAAATTTCTATAGTTGTGTTTTTTTGTTACATAATTAAGGAGTTCCGGGAATGCTTTTCGAGATTTACGACTGCGGAGCAAGAATATCTTCATCGTCTCTTCATTCAGGTACAGTTTGTTGCCTTTTTATGCTCCCCGCTCCCTCTCCGGAAAGCTGAGGTGAAAGCAGATTAGTATCATTTGGACACAGTGTAATTATTTAATTTAAATTGGAGCATGTCGAGTTTATTGTAATACAGTTCTAGGACGTTTTCTTGCTTAAATCCTTCATAAGTTTCTTGCATGTACAAATTCTGTACTGTCTTAAATGGATAACAGCATGTTATTTGCTTTAGTTGTTCATAATTTGCATATTTTCTTATTGCTTCTTGTCTCCTTGGTCATTGGAATAATGAATTTTGGTGTTCATCGAACTTTCAGGTTATAACTTCTTTGCATGGAAACATAGAGGTATATATTTCCATTCAAGGCTTTGCTTCAGAATCCATCCTGATAATTCCATTTCGGGAATTCTTAATTAGTAATGTGATTATGTCTCACCTTTTTTTCAACGAGGCACTTAATGACATATTATGCTTAGCTTACTGTTTTATCAGAGCTAGACACCGAACGGTTTGCCAACGAGGATATTGGGCCCCAAGGGGATAGATTGTGAGATCCCACATTGGTTGAGAGGGGAACAAAGCATTTCTTATAAGGGTGTGGAAACCTCTCTCTTGTAGACGAATTTTAAAACCGTGAGGCTGAAGGTGATATGTAATGGACTAAAGCGGACAATATTTACTAGTGGTGGCTTAGACCATTCCATATACATGTATACTCACAAACACATGGTACTGATAACCAAAAATTTGATTGCTTCTGTTTCAAAGTGTTAAAGGAATGGGAAAGGAAAACATTCTAAAAAATATGTAAAAAGTGTTAGAATAGTTTTCTTTCGGTATAGTGCAAATTGGCTTCCTCAGCGGGATGCAAAAGCAACCCAGGCAACCACCTGAGAGAAGGTGCTTACCATAGACTAGTGCAGTCTCTGTCACCCATTGCAGTAGGCAATCACATAAGCTTGTCTCAAAATAAATCTCACAATAAGCTTCTCTCCTATTACGTTATGTGATCGTCAACAGCATTTCATTTTTAATTCTTTTTTTATATATTGCAATTTTTGGTCAATAACACTACCATTGTCTGAAATGTACAGGACGAGTTTGAGTCATTATGTGTTGAAACACAGGTAATTCTCCTGCTTCTGAGAACGAAATAATACTTTTTATTCCTTTTTCAGTACATATATATTTTAAGGTATGGGCATGATTTCTTGGACAAGTTCAATATGATTACGGGGAGAACCTTCATTGAAACTAATGATATCTCAGTTTTGAAAAACTTGACTTAGTTTGAATGTATAAGATATCGGAGTCCAAACAGGCAATGGCGGGTTTCAATTAAAAAAGAAAAAAGGAAATGTTATCGACATTATGTAATGTTTCATGCTATAAAATGATTATCCTCTCCTCAATTTCCAATTTTATATGTTGGGACTTGTTTGAAGTAATGTATTGCTAGCCATTTGTGTCTGTATGCAGATGACTTTCCCTCTTAACATCGTGTCACTGTTCTGCTTGCATTATAATAGTTTTGCTTTATGCAGGTGGGACTTGTACTTGATAATGTTGAACAACTTTTGGAAGAGCAAGATCTAGACCCATTGTATTCCAAAAAGTAGGTATCTTCTGCTGCCAGGTTATTTTCTGGATCATATTTTAATGTTCTAATTAGATATAGGCTAAAAAGATACTTTTGGTCCATGAAGGTACTAACCTAGTTTTTGAACTTTAGTTTATAATAAATTAGCCTATACTTTGTGACAATTTAGTTTTTAAACTTAAGTGTCAATTTCTTTTTATAATTTTTATGATGGAAAGACTTTGTCTTGGTTGGTTATGAACACATTTGGTCCAAAATAAGTTAATCTATCAATACATGAAAAAATGTGATTAAATATTTACAATACTAAATTGTTATAAATTTTTTAATCACGTACTAAAATTTAGGAATTAACAAGTTAAGTTTAGGAACTAATTTTTTTAAAATCTTAAATATATTTTATGAATGAAGAATCACCTGAAACACACGTTGGTTATACAACAGTTTTAATGTTAACTAGCCTAAACCCTTCTGTTATAACACTTTAGTGACGTAGAAGTATAAATTTTTGGTTAAATTGTGATAATTCTGTTCGAGAATTTGATTGCGATAATTATTATAACTGGGAGATGGTTTGTACATTTTGCTATACATTGCTTATGGCGTCGTGGGTACAATTGTAAAATTTTTTGTAAGTTTGTGGTTAAATGCCCTCGTATTCCCTTCTAGTTTTTCTTTTTTATGCAATGGGATGGGAATGGGGTTTCACAGTCGTCGGGTTTTCATAGCTTTACAGAATGAATTTCTCTGGAGGAGTTAACAAATAACATGTAATGCAGGACAAACATAATGGAAATTGCCAATTATCTATCCATGACAAAGAAGAATGAGATCCAACACTTGAAGGACATGCTAAAAACGGTGAGCAACACTTGTAACTAATCAAACCAACTTAACTCATCTTTTCTTCATCAGTAAATCTAAATAAAGGTTTTCTCTAGGCTGAGGAACAGAACCGGCATGTTCAAGGCCGTATTGATATCCTAAGGAAAGGAGTGCAAGATGCCTCGGCCATGGAAGATGCTGTTGAAAAGGTGCAGTTTTTATTTGGTTACCTTTTTCCACCTCTTCCAAATGGATAAATAATTTAAGAATGCTGACGAAAGTAAACTTTGATTGCCTATCAAACATCAGAAAATCCAGAATGCTAACCAAACATGCTTAAACCATTGCAAAGAATTCAAACTTAAGACATAGTTTCTAACCTGTATATTTGAACTCATGCAATCGTCCACAGCTAAGAAACAGATGCAGAGCTTATGCAGATGATGGCGTTAGCAGAACGACCTTCGATACTTAACCGATGCTCCTCCGACTCGCTGTTGCCATCCCATGTGTTTACATCCAAGAATTGCTGTTAAATAACCAGGTCAGTATTTAATCTAGTACTAGATTTCACTTGGGTAGTTTTATGTGCCAATTTCTTCAGCTTAGCTCAAGCTTTATATTTATTATTTATGTCACGTCTGCAATTTTACATGTTTTATTCTGTATAACTCATACACTCTGTATTGTAACAAAAAAATATTAAATGCCCCATCAAGCATCAGCTATGTTAGAACTCTATTGGCCCTTGTTCTTTTCCTTCACTCTCTATCTAGGGATATCTTTGGTAGGCTTTAACATCCTCTTTGCAATGGAATTTGTACACGCAATTCATGATGAGTTGAAAATTTATGGGCAACATCTCATAGAGGACACCCTAACCATTAAGTATTTTTTTTTTATGATGCAAACATTCCACGATTAGATGCTTACGTAGTATATACATCTATATATTAGATATTTATGTGTATGTGGTGTAGGTGTCATTATGAGCTCTCTAAGAAAAGGAGTGATTGACCTTTTTTAGGCCGGGTTGGGTGAATTGGCATGTTTGTCCACGAAATGGCTTGCCAATTAAATTAATTGATTATCGTTTGAATTGCTCTAAATTTATGTTATTTTTTGTGATTTAGCATGCTGAGTATGAACCACTGTTTCAAATTCATTGAACTCCATTTAGGTTGATTCAAATATTTGGAATCAATTAAATTAAAAACTTAATAGTCCAAATTGATATATAACTAATTGTTAACTCGCTATAATATACACTTGGATAGCATTATCGCATTTAGGTAATCCATTTTACCTCCTTAATAGTGACTATCAAACAAACTAGTTTTTGAGGTGCTAAAGTGAGCATAGCATTAAAGATAACTAACATATTCTCTTGATATGAATGGTTTAAATTCTCGAGCAATTCATAGCACGGCTTCTAAAATCCATTGGTAGCACATTGTTTGTCAACTTTTATATTTTCCAAATTTGGTATCAGTTGTATCTCTAAAGGATTCTCCATATTTGATTTGCATCCCACATGGCGAGGAGTCTTAATTAAAAGCAAGTGAATTCCTCCAAAAGAAAAAAAGAAAAAAAGGTAAATATAGCATTTAAGGATAAAGAAATTAGTGTTTGCATGAATATAAGCAATACGATTGGAACATAATGAGATGATTATTTAAATAATCTAAATTAGGAACAATATTGTGATGTAATGTGTAATTGAATCGGCAAATTTGAAATTGATTACAATTAATGAATGAAGCTAAGCAATGACAACGCATCAAATGTCAAAACCAAAACTTGATATTCAACATGACGACAATCGGAGGAGATTTCATAGAAGGAAGCTCCATTACGATCATACAATTAAAGTCAATTTTATAATTAATACAGTTGTAGATTTTTAAGTCCTCCTAGACTTTTTTATTTATTTATTTATTTTTTATTTTTGCAAGATCTTTTAGATTTTATTCGTAGATATTTATACACGTGTCAACAGTTTTAATTTGATATACTAAGCAAGATATTAATGGAGTTTTCTTTGGAAGGTGGGTAAAAAATACTTATATAAATAAATATTTACACACAAAATTCATTATATAAATATTTAACATCTTTTTAAATAAGTTTACGATATTTTATTTTTATTTTTGATAAAACGGAAATATTGATGACAATTTTGGGTTGAAATTTTATAATTGTTTAGATATGCATTGGACAAAAATAAAATAAATAATAAAACAAACTGTATGAAGCATGCAATATATATAAATATATTTTCTTATAAAAGGTGGCAGCCACGAATGCAAGCAAACCAAATTAGCTTCTTTTGTGGCGCCACGTGTCTCTCTAGCTCTCTCTCTCATCATTTCATAATAATTTCGCTTACTTTCGCCCCTTATCTTATAATTATCTTACAGCTAGTAAGTATATCATTTCTTCAATAAATATTACAATTTTGAGATTTTGAACTTTGACCTCGAATCGAAATAAATAAATTATTTTACAAGTTTCGTATCGAAAAATATATATTATTATATGATTTTGTTCCTTATCTTGTAATTTACAAATCAAAGAGACTATAAACTATGTCGTTCAAATTTATATATAGTAAGTATTAAAAATTTTAAAAGATCAAATAGGTCATTGAAGTATTTGCGTCTAATAGATCGTTAACTAATATCAAATTCAAATTTTGTATTTATTATAATATAAAGCTTTTAATTTTTTAAGTAATAGGGTTGTAGATTTGAAATATGTCGAAAAAAATTAATAAATTTTTATTAGATATTAATAAACCATTGAGAAAAAAGAAAACATAATTATAATTTATAGAATGAAAGGATGAAATTTTGATTTTATTTTAAAGTACTTTGAAAAAATATAAAATATAAAAGAATTAAAAATTAGAAATGATTTATTCCCTTTATGACAAAGTCAACGGAAACAGCGGCGGTTAGTAGCTGGTTTAATAATTACTAGGGTAAAATTATATAATATGTTAATTTAAATATTTATCTAATTAAGTATTTAATAAAATTAAAATATTTTTTTTGTGTTTATAATGTTTGAATCTCCAATGGCTGTAATTGTTTTATTGATTTAGAAAAAATGTTCAATTTAACTTAATAATGACATCATAAATAGCCACTTCATTTTTCTTTGGCAATTTATCTAATAATAACATAATAAATAGCAATATAATTTTTTTTCATTTTAAATTGTTTTATTTGCATTGTTGCTTTATAAAAAAAAAATGGTAAGCATATTCTATTGGCTAATAACCTCGGATAAAAATTGTCAGTTTAAATCTCGATTAGAAAAAAAAGACTCCTAAAGTCTTAAACCTTAATTAGATACTTTCTCGTGTGGGACTATGTCATAACAAGATCCTTCCCAAAAAAAGATCGTTAACTTTATCGAACTCAATTACTTACCAATAAAGATGTGTACAAGGTTGGGTATGGCAAGAACGGGGAAGCCTTTCCTATTCTTATTCCTCCAAAATTTCTCATTTATTTTTGTGGGAATCGAATTCTTCGTACGTGATTTTTTCTCATTTTATTATTTTTTAATATAGTCATTTTAAAGTTTTTTTTAATAATATAATATTTATTAAATTATTGTAAAATATTTCTTTAGCAAACATATATCTACTGACATAATTTATATACGTTCAATTTTAACATGGTAATCTTTGACGATTAAAAGAAATCTACAGCTTATATATTATAATAGTAGTAAAACTAACTAACCTATTAATTTTTTTTAATATAGTAAAATTTATATATATATATATAGATTAACTAAGGACGGAGAATATAATTTCGTCTTCTGTTCTCGGCCCTATTTATCTAATTGAGAAAAAGTTTCCACTCCCTACCTTATTCTCCATCAAAATGGGATATCTTCTTGTTTTCAGCTGGCTTTGAGTTTAGCTGGTAAATAGAATTTACCTATTTGCGAGATCAAATTAAATTTTACCATTTTCTTTCGGGAGGTTCACTATTTTCACCATTTTTCATTTTTAAATTTTCTATTTTAAGAATTGAAACAAACAAAATAAAATTTGAATGATTCATAGATATTTTGATTTGAAAATTGAATAATTAAAGAGAGATAAGGCAAGTCACGTGGCCTTTATTCATTGGAAACATAGAAGAATCTATTTAATATAACATTAATTTTTTTTTTTTTTGTGTTGAATAAATAATAGTCATGGGAAAGTCAAAGTTGAGAAAGGGAGGAAGAGAATTAAATTCCCTAATTAATATATATTTATTTATTATATGTCGAATATTCAAAAGGGTTAGGGTAGATGAGATGATTTATTTCCAGCAAATTAAGTCAACACGTCATGGTCATGTTTGGCTGTCTGTTCATTGTTTGACTCTTAAATACATAAATAATAAACCCTTTTTTACTTTTTTTAGTTAATACTTTCCCCTATTTTTATTTCATTTTATTTCTCTTAAATTCCCAATTTTTGTATTTTCTGCCTTAATAATAAAAATATTAAATCCCTATAATTCTTTCATCCATCCATATGGTTACGAGTTTACTCATAATACCAATCGACCGACCGACCCATCTATCAAAATTACCATTATACCCTTGCATTTAGTGATGGGAGTAATAGGAAGAGAACTTATATTATAATACTTATTAGCCTTGCGTGGCAATTTTTGGTTACAACAAAATTGGTATGTAAAAGTAAATACAGTTGAGGACTTTTCCCCATTCATTTCATGTAAAATTAAAAAAAGAATAAAACTCAAAAAAAAAAAAAAATCAGGACCGTTGGGTTTTTCTAAAGTATATCCAAACTATAATGACTCTCTTGCGAGTCAGAAACTGTCCCCTTTTGCCCAGAAAACCATAACAGAGCACATTTCCTCTGTTTCTGATTCTTCTTTACCTCACTCATTCTGATTTGACCTTAGACAACAGTTTTCCATTGCTCTATTTCTATTTTTAGAAACTTTTTCTGAATTTTTGACTCAAAGTTTTGGAACAATCTTCGTATTCTCTTCTCTTGATCTTTTTTTTTTGCTGGGTTTCTGTGTTCTTCTGTTTTTACTTCTTCAGAGAGATTTTAATGGGAAGCCCATTATGGGGAAGCGCAAAAGGACCGTATTGAATGCCTTCTTGAGCGCCCACTACACTCCATCTGCATAAATTTCAACCCAACAACCAAATCAATCACATGGGTCTTCTTGGATCAGATGATTTTGAAGGTTAAAGATTGAGAAATTACCGACCTGTACTTGGTGGTTAAATGATGGAGAAGAACGAGCATTTCGAGCTTGGCCAGTTCATTTCCTGGACAAGAGTGGGTTCCATTGCCAAATGGCATGTAGGTATTGGGTTTTTGAGGGACCTGTTTCAATCATAATAAACACAATCATTGAATGTTTGGGCTAACCCAATTTGTGTGGGAAAAAGGAAAGAGAAGAAGAATATGTTCTTGTTTTTCTAAATGAAGTAAGCAAGCAAGCAATTAATAAATAAATACACTGTGCTTTGTTTCCTCTGTTTTTACCTCGAATCTTGAAGGATCGAACTTGTCAGGTTGAGGGAAATTTTCTGGGCTGTGATGAATGTTTCTGAAAAGAGGAAGAACTTTCCATCCTTTTGGAATCAAATAGCCTGAAGATGAGGAGTTTTTGAATCAGAAAACAGATGAAAATGGGTTTTGATTTCAGGATTTAACTTTTTCTTTTTTCTTGGGTTTGTGTTCTTACCGTCAAATTCTACATCTTCCACTGCTTCTCTGAAGGTAAATGATAGAACTGAAGCAACTCTTAGAGTTTCTTGAATCACCCTTGAAGTGATCGGCATGTTTTTGGTGTCAGCCCAGGTGAGATTATCATCTCCACTCTGTTTTTCCTTCATGATTGCTTCTTGTTCATCCTATAAACCCAAGAACAGAGGAGAATTCATTTCAATTCATTTCTAAGCTCTAAGAAAAGAAAGTGGGATTTGGGTTTTGGTTTAAGTTTAGAGATGATTCTTACAGTGACAGCTTGAAGAACACTTGGGTTTTCTCCTAGATACTTCAAGATCCATGTTAGAACACTCGCGGTCGTATCCCGAGCAGCGAAGATTAGACCGATGACGTTATCGGCGATCTGTTCATCGGTGAGGCCTTCCTTTTCACCCATGAAAGATCCAAGGAGATCGTTGTGATCGCGCTTCATTTCCCTTCTGGTTGAGAGGATCTTGGTTAAGATATGTGCTAGCTCTTTTCTTGCTTTCATGGCCTTGTGGAAGAGTGTTCCTGGCAGGTTTATCGGCATTGAATTGTACCCTTTTTCAAGTGTGTAATAGCATCGCTTCAAGTCTTCGAAGTAAAGAGCTTCTTCTTTTCCAAATATCGAAAGTAAAGAAACCTCGAATGCAAACTGAAGAAGAACAAGAAGAACATAATTAATCAAATATACAAACCATTCGAAAAAAACAGAGTATATGAATAAGAAACAGAGATGCTCTGTTTTTTACTCTGTTTTTGCTCTGTTTTTACTCTGTTTTTAACGTAAAGAATCGAGGAAGAACTGTATTATACCATCTTCATTTCTTGGAAGGTATTGATCAATTGTCCATCCCATGATTGAACAGTGTTCTTAGCAATGGATTCGATACTCGGGACGATGTTTCGAATCGCTTCAGGCATGAATGTTCGAAGAACGAGGCGTCGTAATTTAGCATGGTAGTCACCTTGGTGAAAGAAGATGGCATTTTTGCCCAACATCCTTTCTTTACTGGCTGGAAATGTAGGCTTAAAGAGATGAGCTTTAGTGACCAACACAAACTTAGCAGCTTCAGGGCTAGAAACCATCACACAAGGATAACCCAATATGTGGGACTTGAAAATAGGACCATATCTGTAATAAAAAACACAACAAAATCAATCAAATTAATCAAAACCCATTTGAGAAACAAACCCAAAAACATGAACAAACAGAGAAACAAATAAGAACCTCTTCTTCTTTGAGGCGAAGAAGACATTGGGATCTTGCGAGTAGAGTTGGAGGGTTTCACCCATGTAAGGCCAGCCCATTGAGCCCGGCGGAAGGGGAAGTTTCCGGCGAGCAGGGGCGGAGAATTTGAAAAGAAAATGAAGAAGAAGAAGAAAGAAGGCGGCGATGACGGCGGCGAAACAGAACATGTTTCGGAGTTGTTTGGTTTATGGCGTATGGATGAAATTGGGAGAAGAAATTAGGAGGGTGAAGAAAAAAGGGATTAAGAAAGGGGTATTTATAGTGTTTTGATGGAGTGGGGCGAGGAAAGAGGGAAGGAAACAAGGAAATAACACACACAAAGGGGTTTTCAATACAGCTCAAGGCGCACACACGGAATCTCCTTCCAGCTCATACTTCTCTCTCCCCCCTTCCTCTACTTCCCAAAAATAAATATCATATCACCTCTCTCACGTTGCAACGTAACTGTCTCCTAATAATCACCCTAAATTTAATCGCGCATAGGTATCCTAGTAACTACCGATCACAAACCCGACATAATTTCACACTCAGACATAAACCCAACACACTTTCACGGTTTTTAGCTTATACGTTCATCAATCAGGCATAAACCCAATACACTGTTACATTTTTCATCAGTCAGACATGAACCCGAGTCACTTTTATGAGTTTTATCTTGTGGGTTCATCGATACAAAGCTGTCAGCTACACTGTGATGGTCGTTTACTTTAATTTTTTAAATTATAGGGAGAGAGATGAAGGAAAGGGACTAAGAGAG